AGTGTAATCTAAAATTGTATATTTTACACAAAAAATACCTTCTTTCTTAAATTTTGTTTTATTTCTCAAGAGAAATTTATTTAGAAAAATATTTATTATAAGGAGAAAATTATTTATGTAAATATTGGTATTCCTTGATGACATTAATACATTCAAGAATTAGCGAGTAACAAGAATATAACCTTCATTTATTCGTCATAATTGATCTATTTCAACGATTCAAATTCCTCCAAGTATTTTCGCCAAGTCCGAGCATCGCGAGGAATTAATTTAGTTTGGCAATCTGACGGGAGTGATTATTACCGTCGATTCTCTCTCTCTCTCTCTCTCTCTTCATCTCTCTCTCGCTTTGAACGCGTATGATTACATGCGTGTGCACACGAACGTACGCACGCATGCACGCAATATGTGCCGAAGCTATGTTGGCGGTTCGGATACATGCCGTATGCGACATATGTACCTACCTACCTAGTGTATCGCGCGTGTATATGTACCGAGAAGAGGTCTCATGCACATATATATATATATATATACATACACATATGCGTCTTATTGGTGCGTTCAGAAATCCGCGCGTGGGTGCGTGCACACACGTATCCCTTCTACTTCCCCACCCCCGTCCCACTGCCATGCCGCGGATCTACATATGTAATTAGCGACACGGATTACGGGTATATCATACGCGCGGCCCAGTGTGTGTACATACGCATGTAATACACGCATATGCGATTAACATCTGGTCGCATCGACGACTGGGGCCGCACATCGGTACACACGCTGTTTGCAACGCGCATATCATACGCATACATATGCCTCTGTGTGTGTGTGTGTGTGTGTGTGTGTACGCGTGCGTATGTGTGTATTTGAGGATACGCGTGTTAATATCGAATCCCGGAATTAATCCGGAACGCACAATTAGTAAGATGCGTCTGACCATCGATACAATAATCCGTTTTTCTCCCTCTGTATGCGACAGAGAGAGAGAGAGAGAGAGAGAGAGAGCTCAATTATATTACCTTTGTATTTTCAGTCATTATTCTATTTTTAAAATCCATTAAGCTTTTTTTGTAAAAGATATACGTATGGTTACTAATATCATCAATTTATCACACCATTTATTAATCGAATTTTATATATCGTCGCTAAATAATTATGGACGAATATTAATTTATACCGTTTAATTCTCTATTTGATTAAACTTGATTATCGGAGTCATATTCTTTTCAAATTATGTACTTTT